TGTCTCAATATACATTGTTTTTACAATGACTTAGTTCAAAATGGAACTGACGACGCAATCAATGATTTTTTTCGGAAGAAAGTCGATAAAAATTTCTTTGGTGATTATTTTCGGGGTATGGATCGTGACTCAATTGCTTCAGAAAATGCAAATGACTATAAGCTGTTTCCAGCAATGAGAACACTGTGCCAAAAACATGAAGTAAACGCACCATCAACGGCTGGACTTACAAATTCGCTCAAATATGGAATGCAAGCCTTTTTTACAAATTTCGAAAACAATATGTGGATGCATGCATACAGTCGTATGAAGCGATTCCTGTTGCACATAAATTCCGATCGAAAAAAGGTTCACAACACTCTGGATTATTTGTTCAAAGAAAAGTCTTCATGCGAACCGGATCAAGATCTGTTGGATGCAATTGTTTCAATTCTACGCCCAATCGATTGGAAAGACAACGGAAAAGCTTATTTCTTTGGAATGAAGTCAAATTGGCATAAATTCGTGCCGCTGTTCATTAGACTGCAAAGGTTCGTTCGATTCATTTGTTTTATTCCGATTTTCTTTTGAATTAACAGTGTTTTTTTAACTTCAAACTTCAAGATTCAAATTACAGTGAACAAAAAAAATACAATAAAATTGATTTTTTTTTTGTTTTTCATTCGAAAACAGTTACATCTGTGAACACAATAAACAATTTGAGCCAAAGAAACCAAAAGAGGTAAAACAAAAGTCGAAACAACAGCCGCAACCACGCAAAAATAACAACCGAAAGCGTGTCATCAAGCGTAAACGCAAAATCAAGAAGCGAAAACGTGATAAAAATGCGCCAAAGAAAATAACAAATTTCACTGTCATCCCCCAGCAAACGTTTAAGCGACATCACATTTGCATTGACAATGAAGAACTGCTTGCCATGGTGAAGCAAATTGATCCAGAGAAAGTGCAAAAAACCGGGAAAAAGAAGGATGAAAATGGAAAACGGATCAAAGTGTTCAAAGTGTATGAAGATTTAAAACCAAAGGATTGGCGTGATTTGTGGCAAACATACTTTGATTTTGGTTCTGATTCGAAAAAACCATTGGAGCGAAAAAAGCCACGAAGACCAGGTGCTGCTTCTATTTCATTTGCTAATTTTATTCGTACTGATGGTGTTTCAGCATCTTTAACAATGGATCGAACATGGGGTCAATCACGAAATTCTAGTGAATCTAGTTTTTAATAAGATTTCACTAGAAAACTAGAAAATTCTAGTGCGTGAAGTTGGCTCTCAGTAGTTTTTCATATAAATTATATGGCCTTTGGTGTGAAGTTGGCTTCGTTTGTGACGTCATTATTCGCACTAGATTTACTAGTTTTTCTAGTATTTACTAGCGTGATTCGCCCCATGGGATCGAACCAAAATGATTGTGCCCAAAAGTGAAGAGCAACGCAAATTAGAGCTGCAAGAAGCATTACGCAATTGTGAACAAGAATATTCGTTCGATGTTGGTCTGAAACTGTCGGTTGGCGGTATTCGATATGATCGTTCGGATAATTCGGAAACCAATTATCGACTCCCATCGACAAAATTCCATTTCGAAACCGGTTGCTACAAACGCAAGAAAAAATTGGAAAATATGACAAAAGTGATTGATGAAAAAATGCGCCTCCATCGAGAATCACTGGCAGAACAACCAGGTCCACGATCCAAAGATTTCGTCGCGTATGCTGACCACATATTGATGCATTTCAATGAAAAGATTGAAGCATATTGTCAATACAATTATGCTTTGCAATCGTTGCTAAAGTATATGGTGGTCAACCGATATTGCAGCAAACTCGCGAAAGAAATGGTGAATGGCAAAAAGACGTTTGTATTCGTAGGCGATTGTTTTCTACCAGGAAATTCGATAGCAAAAGGATACCTGCGAACAAATATTCGTATGCTCTTCGACAAATTAAAACAAATGCGCAACTGTACAGTGCACATTGTAGATGAATTTCGAACAACGAAATTATGTTCACGGTGCTTTAAAGTGCTTGCTCCGGCTATTCGCATGGGAATTGTTGATATGAAACATCGATTCTTTACATGCAAGAAATGTGAGCCAGCACAAAATTTGCCGCCTGAATATCCAGCATTTCCAGCAGTTCAAATTTCATCGCAGAAATCCAAACGATTATTGACAGTGCAACGAAATATGCGACCAAATGTCGGTGTACGCCAAGCATCAAAACTACGCAGATACGAAGTTAATTTGCAAGTACGTGATATCACATGGAATCGAGATGTAAATGCAGGCCGTAATATCCGATACAAAGGTATGTATTGAAGTGTTGCTTGAGATAGTTTAAAGACAATAGATTTTTGTATAATACAATATTTTCAATTGTCTAAAACAATGCTTTCATTTTCAATCAATAGGCTGGTGTGATGTCATGAACTGGGATCTTCACGAAAATTTTGATCGCAACTGAAAACTATGAAGCCAAACAAATCAAAAAATTCAACGGCTCAGGTTTGTGAAAATAACTTGTTAGTTTGAATGTTATGTGATTGTAATTTTTTTCATCATATTTTACAGAATGAGTCTTTCCAAGGTCAAGCTCTTTGGAGCGGGAGCTTCGGCTCGTGATCTGCAACTGCTACTTTGTAAGAATCACATTTTATTAGTTTGAAATAGTTTATTCATACATCGGATCGATTAATATTCAAATGTAGGCCAGAGAACCATCTTTTGCTTCGGGAAGTCGTAATATTAATCGATGTGATGTTTAAATGCCACCAATTGACATAGCCATTGTTCTAATTTAAATTGATAAATACCATTTTTTTTATTTGCAGATATGGGAAACA